CAAGTGGCAGCCACATCAGCAGAACAAGTGGGCAACGCTGTATGACGCCAACTACAAGGAGCTGTGAGTGATCCGGGCTGCGCCAGCGCGGGGTGTCCAGCCCAGGACCCCTTCGAGCTCCTAGAGCAGGGACTGGGGGCACACTGGGTCCAGGATGGTCCCATTTTACAGAAGGCTCAGGGAAGAGCCAGGCCTGGCACTCAGGGTGTCTGACTTCCCGGCCAGCCCGGGCCTCCCTACAAAGGTGATGTCAGCCAGGGAGGGGCCAACGGGAACCTCGGCAGGGAGAAGGGGGGTGCATGGGTGTTTTCTGGCTCCTCCTTCCCCTCCTCCGCCACCTCCTCCTGCAGCATTCCAGGAAGGTAGCCGGAAGGAAGCGGGGTGTAAGCAGGGGAGGAGGGCTGGAGGAGGACTCGGTCACAGGCTGCCCAGGCATTCCTACTTCTCCCTCAGCATTTGCATGCATTCAGCCTCCCAGACCCCAGGACAGGACCCCTGTGGGGGCCACCCCCCTTGTTCTCCCAGAATACCAGTGGGTAGTGAGAGGGCAACTCCCCTCAACTCACTTCGGACACAGCCAGGCCTGGGGAAGGTGGCTGAGACTTGGGGCTTCTCACAGGATCTGTGACTGACATTAGCCTCCTAGAGTTGGGCCCCAGACTATGTGGGGTTCTTAGCCAGAAGCCCCCCCAAGGCTGGGAGACTCCAGCTGCTGTGGTCCTGCAGGTAGGGAGGAAGGCCCCTACTCTTATCTCCATATGCCTTGGGCCAACCCCATCACGCTAGGCCCTAAGGCCAGGAAGGTGGCAGCTGAGGACCCCTAGTGGGGTCCAGGCACTTCCTGGGTGCTTTGCTAGGTCAGGCAGTGGGCAGGGCCCCAGCTGGGAAGAGATGGTGAGTCCAGACCTGAAGTTGGAAACATTGTCCCAGCCCAGCTTCCTCCAGGCAGGCACCAGGCCCTCCTGTGACCATAGGGGTCACTGCTTGTGCCTGGGGTCCTAGCCTTGGGCCAGCAATTGCCCTTGTTACTGCCACCAGGAGGTCTCCCAAAGGGACCAGACTTGGAACACCATCCCCAGCAACAGATGGGCAAACTGAGGCTAAGTCTGAGGACGAGTCCAGAAGTGCCCCCTCCCTCCCCAGGCAGAGACAGAGGGAGTCAGAATGAGGGCGTTTGGGGGTTTGAGCAAACTGGTGGGCAGGGGCTGGGCCTGCAGCAGAGCCGGCTCCTAGTTCCACCGTTTCCATGGCAACCAGCTGTCAGCTCTGGTGAGGCTCTGCAGACGCAGCCCCTCTCACCCCATCTCCCCTGAGGGAGGGGGCCTCAGGCAGTCCTCTGGGAAGTAGCCAAGTGTGGTGAGGGGGCCATGAAGCCCCTCGCTCAGGAGTTCCCTCCACCTGTGGCGGGCCTCATGGGTCTTGCTCCGCTTCCCCATCACCTGTGGCCTCAGGCACGTAGAGGAAAGAATATTGGCTGACGAGTGGGCAGACCTGTGCACAATCCCCTGGACTCAGTTTCCATTTCTGCCCTGTTGGTGGTTTGAGGATCTGGGGGTACATGATGGGAAACTGCTTTGGGACACCACCATGGGGGAGGCCCCAATGGTCCTGGGGGGCCTTGGGTGAGTGCCGTCACCTGCCCCCCAGACCTATGCTCACCTACCGTGTGGACGCCGACAAGGGCTTCAACTTTTCGGTGGGCGATGACGCTTTTGTGTGCCAGAAGAAGAACCACTTCCAGGTGACGGTGTACATCGGCATGCTTGGAGAGCCCAAGTTCGTCAAGACGCCCGAAGGCCTCAAGCCCCTCGACTGCTTCTATCTGAAGCTGCACGGAGTGAAGGCAGGTTTGGGGCTCCGCGAGGAGAGCTAGGAAGCAACGGGAAAGCGTTGAAAGAGCCCAAGGTGCAGCGAGTGTGTAGGGGAGCTCCCGTGGCTAACCCGACCCAGCCACTGCCACCTCTTCCCGCCTTAAGTGTCGGGCTCCTCAGCGCTCTCTCTTGTCCCGTTTCCATCTCTACCCTGTGACCGCCAGGTCTGCATCTTTTTCCAAGGCCCATCTCCTGACCCTCTTGTCAGCTGTGAGTTCCAAACTAAACTCCCTGTGAACTTGTCCCTCCCAGGGGCAATGGGGTCCCAGGAATGGGGTCCCAGGTCCTGGTTACCCAAACCATAAATCTAGGGGCCCCTCACCTATTCACGTACCTGGCCCTGCTGTTCATCGTGGAACATGCCTCTCTCGGTCCCTCCTCCTCTCCCCTGCGCTGGCCCCAGTTCCTGCTCCAGTCGAGACACAGATAGTCACCACTTTCCACTCTTCTAAGGCCCCGGTGTCCTCCCAGCAAAGCCCCAGCTTCCACCTGAGCCTGCAAGGCCCTTTGGGTCCAGCCCTTCGCCCAAAAGAGTGGTGTCCACTTGCAGCCCTGCCTGCCCATGAAGCTTCCTCCTGGGATGCCCCGCCCCCACCCTTCCTCACTGGCTGTCTCCCTGCAGGTGCCCTCTTCAGGGAAACCTGCCCGGAGCCCAGTGCGACCTAGAGGCCCCACAGCCCAGCCGCAATGACAGTTGATTTTGAACCCGAGAGTTCCGTGGGGATGTGGCCCCTGTGCTTCACTGTCTGAGCTAGACCTGGGGCCTTGGTGGGCTTGGCTGGTGCTCATGGAGGAGCTGAGGGGATGTGGGTGCAGGAGAGGGTTTGGGGAGTGAGTGGGCTTGGGTGTGAGTGAGTGTGCATGGAGGCTGGTTGGAACTGTGGAACCCAGGGTCACTGGAGATGTGTGTGTGTGTATGTGTGTGTGTGTGTGTGTAGAAGCCAGAGGAGTTGGGGTGTGGATGTGAGGGGGGTAGGACTGCGAAGGTGTCTGTGAGGGTCTGTGTGCATGCACACCTGCATGCAGAGGTGGGGTGGAAGAGTGGGTTTGTGTGACTATGGGGGTGCAGGTGCTTTGGGGGTGACTGTGTACCTCCTCGTGCAGAAGCAAGGCAGGTGGTGTGCTGTGGGGTGTGGGGGCTGTACGTGAGCATCCTTGGGGTGGGGGAGCTGCGGCTGTGTAGAAGGCACTATAGAGCAGGAAAGTGAGGCCCAAGGCAGGGTGCTGCTCTGATTCCTCACGTGCTCTGGCCAGGCCAGACCTGCACAGAGAGGGCGAAGGAGGGCAGGATCAGGTGGGATCCTCAGCTCTAAGGTGCCCCTGGGCTCTGTCCCTCTCCAGCTGGAAGCCCTGAACCAGTCCATTAACATCGAGCAGTCGCAGTCAGACCGGAGCAAGCGGCCCTTCAACCCGGTTACGTGAGTACCTGCCCCTGTGGAGGGTGGTACCTGGGAGGGCCTGGGAACTGGGGACCTGGACCTGGCTTGAGAACTGAGCTGGGCAAGGGAGCCACCGCCACATGCTCCTGGCCTGGGTGCCCCTCCATAGCCTGGTTCTTGGCAGTCTCTCTCTGCACCCTGAGCACCCTGCCTCTCTGTAGGGTCAATCTGCCCCCTGAGCAGGTCACGAAGGTGACTGTGGGACGGCTGCACTTCAGCGAGACTACCGCCAACAACATGCGCAAGAAGGGCAAGCCCAACCCTGACCAGAGGTGAGCCGGCTGGACCCCTGCCCCGGGAGCTCCTGCATTGCTGAGAGGAGCACAGTCGCATAGACTGACCCTGCGCAGATGAGGGACCTGAGATGCCGAGCCCGGCTCTGGCTTAAGAAATAGCTGAGTCCTCCTGTGGGTCCTGGGGAATTTCTGCCCCCTTGTGGAGACTCAGGTTCCTCCTTTGTAGGACGGCGTGCTAGTGCCCATTGCCTGGGGGCGAGGTCACACAGCATAGCTGTGTACTTCTGGTCCAGGACTGGTGCCAGGGAGCAGGAACAGAAAGGGCAGGACCCTGGGTGGCTCTGAGACCCCCGTGTGTCGCAGGTACTTCATGCTGGTGGTGGCCCTCCAGGCCCACGCACAGAACCAAAACTACACACTGGCTGCCCAGATCTCGGAGCGCATCATCGTGAGGGTGAGAGCCACCTCCCCTGCACCTCTGGGGGTGGGGGGAGTCCTCCCAGAGCTGGGAGAAATAACGCCCAGGGAAATACAGGGGCTGCGGTGCGGATCCCGCTGGGCACTGGCCACCTGGCCTTGGCAAGGCTCTTCCCCTCTCTTGGCTGCTGTGTCTCCACAGTGAAGTGTGGAGGTGGACAAGCTGTGGTAGCTTTGGGATCTCAGGAGTGACTAAAAGTTGTCACAATGGGCAGGACAGTTTGAGTTGGGCTGGTGGGGTGAGGACCAGGAGGGTGGGCTCTGGGGTTTTCCCCTTCCATAGGGCCCTGCAGGTTTCCCGTCTCCCAGGACTGATCCAGCCCCAACTCGCGGTAGGCCTCCAACCCAGGCCAGTTTGAGAGCGACAGCGACGTGCTGTGGCAGCGGGCACAGGTGCCCGACACAGTCTTCCACCACGGCCGCGTGGGCATCAATACGGACCGGCCCGACGAGGCGTTGGTTGTGCACGGCAATGTCAAGGTCATGGGCTCGCTCATGCACCCCTCGGACCTGCGAGCCAAGGAGCACGTGCAGGAGGTGGGGGTGGGACTGCGGGCAAGGGGCTGGGCTGGAGGTTGGAGCCGCCCCGCCGGGTGCGGGTGTTTGTGTGGGCGGGACCCAGGGGCTCCTGGAGAGGAGGCGGCACCAAGTGGGAGGGCGGGGCTTCTGGGGAAGGAGGAGAGGGAGACTGACCCGAGATTTTGATCCCTCGACCCCTAAGCAGGATCTCCGCTCTACACTGTGGCCTCTGCGCTGTTACCTTCCTGGGCTCCAGAGCCTTCTCTGGACCGCCCAGGAGGGAATGAGGTCATTCTTGGCTCTGGCTTCCCTGCAGGTGGACACCACGGAGCAGCTGAAGAGGATTTCACGCATGCGGCTGGTGCACTACAGATACAAGCCTGAGTTCGCCGCCAGCGCAGGCATCGAAGCTACCACGCCAGAGACAGGTAGGGGCCGGCCTGTCGAGGACTGGAGTGCCGGAACCAGTAACCTCAGGTCTCCGTAACCTCCTGGCCCCTCCGCTAGTGGTTGTGTCTCTGCTAGCTGGAAATCCTGCTCCCAGAAACCCCTCCCCTTGGCTCCTGACCTCTGCCTCCAGAGTCCTGCCCTCCGTGTGCCACCCCAGGTCTCTAAACCTCACCCCTGGACACTGGAAGCCTGAGAGTTGCGACCCTGGATAGTCGTCCCCTGGCCCTCCCAAATGAATCCTGCCTTTATCCTCCCTGAATTCTGCACCCTTCCCCTGAGTCCCTTACTCTCAGGAACCCCCATCCCACTCCAGCCCAGGAACCCCACACCTCAACACCTTGGAGCCTCAACCCCATGGACACTTGTCCATGGAAGCCCCTGGTCCAGAGTCCTTAGAATCCAAATCATGTGCGCGCGCGCGCACACACACACACACACACACACACACACACGGCTTGTCCCTTCCCAGGTGTCATTGCTCAGGAAGTGAAGGAGATCCTGCCCGAGGCTGTGAAGGACACGGGAGACATGGTGTTTGCCAACGGGAAAACCATAGAGAGCTTCCTGGTGGTGAACAAGGTCTGCGGGGCAGGCGAACTGGCGGGAGAGCGCATGGACATTTGTCCATGAAAGCCCCTGGTCCAGAGTCCTTAGAATCCAAATCATGTGCGCGCGCGCGCACACACACACACACACACACACACACACACACACACGGCTTGTCCCTTCCCAGGTGTCATTGCTCAGGAAGTGAAGGAGATCCTGCCCGAGGCTGTGAAGGACACGGGAGACATGGTGTTTGCCAACGGGAAAACCATAGAGAGCTTCCTGGTGGTGAACAAGGTCTGCGGGGCAGGCGAACTGGCGGGAGAGAGCCCTGGGCAGAGGCCAGCAAGCTGGGGGCACTGCAGAGCAGGAGCAGCCTGGGTGCTCACGCTACCTCCAGAGCCCCCTCCCCACCCGATAGGAGAGGCCTGAGTGCTGGAAGGGGAACTGTTGGCCGCAAGAGGCCATCCCCTGTCCCTGGAAACAAAGTGACAATAAAACTGCTAAGGCAGTCTGGACTTGCTAATGGTTTATTGTGAGGATGCTCAGCCAAATAGTAAAGGGCCAGAGCCATCAGAGGGACAGACCAGGGCTGGAGCCCTCAGGCTGGGGAGCCCCTGAAGGACAGAGTCCAGGTACGGGATGGGCCATTCAGGAGGGGAACAGCCAGGGCAAAGGTGCAGAGGAAGGAATGCTGTTTGGAGGCTTAGGGAGGTGTGGGAGCCAAAGCTGGACTGGAGGAGAGGCCAGCCCAGGCAGGGGGCACCCAGGGCCTCCCTGTGGCCTTGGATCGTGGGGCCCCCCTGCTGCTCCCGGATGGCCCATAGCCGGGGCTCCTCAGGCTGACCGTGCCCTCCGTGTTGGCGCGCCGTCTACCCAGGAGCGCATTTTCATGGAGAACGTGGGGGCCGTGAAGGAACTGTGTAAGCTGACAGACAACCTGGAGACGCGCATCGACGAGCTGGAGCGCTGGAGCCACAAGCTGGCCAAGCTGCGGCGGCTTGACAGCCTCAAGTCCACCGGCAGCTCGGGCGCCTTCAGGTGGGGTGTGGGGTGGAGGAGGGCATGACTCCCTTCCTGGAGGAAGCAACCCCTGACCCTGGCCCTCTTGCTGCAGCCATGCAGGGAGCCAGTTCAGCCGGGCAGGCAGCGTCCCCCATAAGAAGAGGCCCCCCAAGGTGGCCAGCAAGGTGAGAGTGGGCAGGGGGGGATTCAGGTTGGACCAAGAGCTTCCCTACCCCCCACCTCCCTTTCCAGCTTGCACCTCTGCAGCCTCACCGACACCCAGCTCTTCCCCTTCCGACCCCACGGCCCTCCCAGCTCCTGGTTTATCCATCTTTTCCCTCTGTCCCCTGGGGAATGAGCACCCCAGCACCCTTCCAGCAGAACCCACACTGGGTAAGGCATGATTCTCTTCTGCATCTTCTCCTCTTGATCCTCAGTCGTCACCCGTGGTTCCAGACCAGGCCTGCATCAGCCAGCGCTTCCTGCAGGGGACCATCATCGCCCTGGTAGTGGTCATGGCCTTCAGGTGACTTGTCCTCTGGGCCCTGGAGGTGGTTGACTGGGGGAGTTGAGCTGTCAGGGGGGTCAACTGCTGGGAAGCCCAGGCCTAGGAAGATGTGACTTGAGAGATCAAGTGGGCCACCTCATCCGTCTCCTCCTCCTGGAGCTGGGGAGAACCATTTACAGGCATCACCTGGGTGCCCAGGCCCTGGGCTATGGCCATAGGCCCTGTCCTAGAGAGAGTGCTGGGTGGTGGCCCCAGCTCTAACAGTGACCCTGTTCTGTGGCTTGCAGTGTGGTGTCCATGTCCACACTGTACGTGCTGAGCCTGCGTGCTGAGGAGGACCTGGTAGACACCGATGGGTATGTCCCTGGGGACCTGGCCGCTGGTCAGACTGCCAGACCAGCTGGGGTTTGTGAGCAGCCCAGGGTCGGAGGAGCAGCGGATGCTATCTCCTCTGAAGGGATTTAGCCTCGAGCTCCCTACCTGCTGGAGTTCATGAAGGTGGGAGGGAGGCTCTGGAGGGTGGGCAGCTGTTCTAGCTCCTGCTGCTGTTGCTCCTCTAGGGACCTGGGTAGAACATGGGGGTGGGGGGAAGGAGAGCCAGGGCAGGACCTTGGGCTCTATCTGCCTGTCACCTCAGCTCTGAGGCCACCTCTGACTGTGTCTTCTCTTTCTCTCCTCCCCTGTGCCTATCTCCCCTTTTCTGCTCCACTGTCTCTTAGTTCTTTTGCCGTGTCCACTTCCTGTCTCCTGGCCCTGCTCCGGCCCCAGCACCCTGGGGGGAGCAAGGCCCTGTGCCCATGGTATGTGTCTAACCCAGAGCCACTCCCTCCTCTGGCACCTGCTGCCCTTCTTCCTGCCTCCTTTCCACCGCCCTCTCCACCTCGCCCACCCTCCTGCTTTTCGGGGACACCCAGGCTCTCCTAGCCCCTCTGAGCTCAGCCCACCCTTCCCCAGCAGGTCTAGTCAGAGCTTTGGGACCACTCAGCTCCGCCAGTCCCCTGTGACTACGGGGCTGCCAAGCACTCAGCCCTCTTTGCTGCTGGGTGCGTGCCGTGCCTGGGCAAGGCTGGAGGGAAGGGATGGGGGAGGGGGTTGTGTCTAGAGTGGGGTGGGGGTGGGGGCTCTGCTGCCCTCCTTGGGCTCATACAGCCTCTGGCTCCCTCAGTTACCACTGGGCT